AACAAAGTACAATGGCATAGATATACCACAATGACATCCAACATTTTGTGTGCTAACTTCAAATTTTAAATAAGAAAAAAAAAAAAAAAAAACAGGTCTTTACTCCTAAATGGCTTTAATGTATAAAACATAGTTGACTTGGGGAGTTGCTCTTTAGAGTTTTCTGGGACCAAAGACAAACAGAATTATCACTATTATTTGACCTCTAGTGAAGTAATGACCTAGGTTGGATGGTTAATCTCATCAACTTGATGCTATTTGAAATCACTTAGGACACAGACTTTTGGGTATACCTATGTTTCCAGAAGACACACCCACCCTGAATGTGGGTGGAGCCATCCCATGGGCTGAATGGAAAAGAGGGCAAGTTGAGCACCTGCTTTCAGTTGTTTCTGCTTCCTGACTGCAGATGCCATGGGACCAGCTAGCTACCTATGCTGTTGCCACCTTGCCTTCCACTCCATGATGGACTGTACCTTCAAATCAGGAGCCAAAAACAATGCCTTCCTTCTTTGCAATGTGTTTTATTTCTACAACAAGGAAAGTACACCAGACAAAGGTGGAAAACTACAGGAGAGAAAATATTCATAATATTAACTCACAAATATTTTTATACAGTGTTAGTTACAAAACAGAGTAGGGAAACCAAAATTTTAAATAAGGAAATTTGAACATACACTTCTCCCCAAAAGATAATGTCAAGGAAACCCATGAAAACAGCACCAGGGCCTGAGATACAGGCCAGCTGGGAGTGTTTCTCTACCCTGGCTTCAGTGCCTGGCACCTCATAAGCCAGGTGTGATAGTCCCCAACACCTATAATCCCCAACACTTGGGAGATGGAGAAAGGGAGATCAGGTCAAGTTCATTCATAACTACACAGCAAGTTCAAAGCCAGCTCAGCCAGGATACATCAAACATAGTGTCAAAAAAAGAGAGAGGGAAGGAGGGGGAGAAAGAAGGAAAGGAAGGAACGAAGGAAGACAGTCCCACATCACTAATGAAATATATACTTAGAAGAAAACATCCATTAACCTGGGTAAAATGATAAAGATAGACAATACCAAGACTGACAGAGCTGTGGGAAAACAAACACTTCTTTAGCGATTATTAGTAAAAACAAAATAAGGGAAATTTTGGAAAATAGTTTGGGAGATCTTTAAAAGCCTCATATAAGTTCCACATACAACAAGAGTCAGCCTTTATCCTACACATTTACCCAAAAGAAATGAATGGATATGTCCATAAGCAAGGTGTCGTTTGTACATAGCAGCTTTATTCATAGTAAAACAAAACTTGAAACAACCTAAATGTTCATTACCAATCGTTAAACAAACTGTGGTATATTCCTTCAACAGAATCCTATGGAAAAGAACAGAACATACTAATGACATGAAAAAACATGGATCAATCTGAGCATGAAGAACTTCAATTACACTGTGCTAAGCAAAATATGCCAGACATGAGAGTACATACCAGACAATCTATTTATTTGTAATTCCATAAGAGAAAAATCTAATTTACAGTCATAGAGAGCAGATAAGTCATAGACTAGAGCAGGGTACTGGAGTAGAGGTGAACTAGAGTGCTGAAGATTTTTAGAGACTTTTTAGGTAGACATGGGCCTACTCACAATGGCAGGAACTGATTGGCAGGAACTGTTAGGTAAGTGGATATTCACACATTTGTCAAGAACTTTTCAAACTGCAAACTTAAAGTGGCTGCCTTTTCCTATATCTAAATTATTGTCATTTAAAATTGGCAGAAGCAGGTAGAGGATACCATAACTCATTCCACACTCCTTTCTTCAACTTTGTGGTTGAAAGAGGTAGACCTTTAAATAGTATAAGCAAAATTTCCTGTTGCCTTATAACAAACCACTATCTGTTTTCAAAACAATCTCCACAACTTAAAAAAAAAAAAAAAGCCAAAATTAGGATTTTTACTAAATTTCACACTTACTTTAGAATATTCTCAATGTTCATTAGGGCTTTAGGGCTTATGGGCTCCCTCGTGGCCTAACTACCTAAGAGACAAGTTGGAGACATGGAGATTACACCAGACGACTGCATGTAATGGCAAGTAATATTGAACCAAGAACTAGAGAGGCTTAAAGGAGCTGTGGGCAGTTCTGAAGCTCAGGTTTCCCATTCACTGCAAGATTCACAAAGTAGCTGGAAGGAGGCATGAGCAACCCGGAAAAAGGGAAGAGGGAAACCAACACACCCAGCCCTGTTTCCTATTCTCCTTCCTGTCCTTAGGAGGGAGAAGGGGATCAGGATTCCTTGGCTAATGGGTATTCTAAGAAGCAAGCTGAAAGAAATGAATCCCTACCTAACCTGTTTTCCCAAAAAAGTTAATACACATTTATTAGCTTTCCCACCACGCTCCAAGTACAATTCAGGGAGCTCACACGTGACACTCAATGAGGCATTGTATATTAGCTAAAGGGCCACTGTGGCTCTTGCTGTCATAGTGGGCCTATTCAATTGCACGTGGCTAAGGTACATGACTTCAGATGTTATCTTCCTTCACTTCATAGGTAAAGAGGTCATTTACATTTTATTACTGGTTTAAAAAGTGAGTTCCTGTACCCTAAAATGGCACCAATCATAAACCCCTTTGTTGGTTTAAAGTCATCTCAGAAAAACACACACACAGAAGATGATGATGATGGTTCTTGTGTTAACTCCTAAACTCATTTAGACACATGTTAGGTCATGAAACCAGAGCCTAGAATGTCTATTACAGAGCAGGTTTTGAAGGGTTCTGATTGAAGCAAATTAAAGAGCTGATTAATAACACTTACTGCTGGGAAAGGGGAGCCAGCTTGTGAGTCACTGCAAAAAGCATGATCTGCAAACTGACAGGGCTGTGGTGTCCTGCTACAATCATGGAAATACCAGTTTTCTAAGACAACCCCTTTTAACTCATTAAGTTGTAGCCAAACAACAACAGTAATTTAAAATACTTGCATGCTTGTGCTGTCGCCATCCTGTTTTGTCCACAAGCCTCAGCTGCAGTAGATATGAGCTCTGAAATGCCTCCCTCATTACTTTTCAATTCTGTTCGATATTCAAGATACAGTATTTTATCAGTCAGGTGCCTGCATTCTAGAGAGTAACATGAGTCTCGAGTTTTCAGGTACAGTCTCAATGTAGAATGCTCTGATAAGTATCTGTACCATGCAACCTTGAAACCAGAACAATAAAAATCATATTTGATGTAATTTTAATACTAATACTGTTAAGATCACTAAACATAAATTTTTCATTATCATGAGTGTCATTTTTCTCCAGATTCATAAAAATGTATTATTGTAATTTACAAGCTTAGTACACTTTTATATACCATTACTCACACCCCAGCAAAATAGTGGATGTGTTTTTCTCTTGCTGCATGAAAGTGTTCGCTAAAGTACCTTTTGGGGTTTAGAGATATGAGCTCATTCTTCCTTTTTCTCCCCGTCTTATGTCTATTTTGCATCTTATATCTGAGTACTAAAGAGACTAGAATGACCCACTCATGGCAAAATAGTTGAAAAAGTAGGTTTACCAGTCTGAAAGCAGCACGCAGGCCATGTGGGTCTTGCCTCTTTGAGGTTGAGGCATAGACACCATGCCAAGAACAATCTCTGATAACTGTCATTCAGAAGAAAGTGAGAGGAAGTATTCCCAAACTAAGACAAAAATTTCCTAGAAATGGTTAGCATTTACTAAAGAATGCATGAATGCGGAACCATGCAAATGTTTCATACATATATATATATACTTTGACACAGAAAAAAATAAAATCTACCAATCTAAGTCCCAAAATCTAAGAGGAAAATCTCCAAAATATAGAAGGAAAACTTTTTTTCGCAAATTACACAATAGACAGATATCTATATGTAACATATCAAATGTGATATATTCACTTCTCTAGCCATCTGGCTACCATCTGAGAATATCCTTTGCTATTTAACAAAATATTTTTTTAACTCATTCTAAAACTGGCCTTTCTACCCAAGGCTTAATTTTTTGGTGGTATAATTTAGGGGGAATATAATATATTTAAGGCAACTGCCAATTTCTCCAACTCAAACAAAAAAAAAGTGAATATTCCCCTAAATTACTTCTAAAAAATATCATCCTCACAAAAATACTGGTCATACTGGCCAACAGTTTTTGCTAAGATTGCATAACACAACATAAATAACTTTCAACTCTAATGAAAAAAAAATTACATCAATAATAACTTCCTGAGCATCTGACATTAATATATGTTTATACTACAGTATATACAATAAAAACAGTAATTCACAGCAATAATAATATTGGTTTGTGACTGTGGAGGATGAATTTTATTAAACATTTTTCTTTTGTTGTTTACAGTCTACTGTTTTTTGTTTTATTCTGAGGCAAAGGCTTGCTTGAGTTGCCCAAGCTAGTCTTGAACTTACCACTCTCCAGCCTTCGCCTCTGACAGTGCTGGGGATTATAGGCATTTGCTTCTCACCATATCTGCTCACTCATGGTATGACACTACTAATCACATTCCAGTTCCTTGATTGTCAGTCACATACTGACACCTTTTTACTTTTAAAGATATTTGATACCCATTTGAAACTATAACTATTTTTTCATTTCACTGAATAGTTCCAAAAAATGCAATTTAGAAAGACATTTATAAATTGTTCACTGCAAAGTTACAAGCAAGAAGTATTAGCCAGCTGCTGTAGCTCATACCTGTATTCCAAGCTGTCTCAGACACTGAGGCAGGAAGACAGCATTGAGGCCAGCCTAAGTTAAAAGAAAGACCTTCTCTCTCAAAAAAAAAAAAAAAAAAAAAAAAAAAACCAAAGGGGAATAAATGTCTTCTGGGTTCTTCATACTTTCAAAAATAAGAAAAACAAATAGGAGGATTTAGCTCAGCAGCAGGGCACTAGTGTAGTGTGCTGGGGGCTCTAGCTACACCCTCCCCCATGAAAGGAAAAAAGGAAAGAAACTGTTTTGAGCAGGATAATGTAAGAGCAGAATTTACTGACAATCTGCAAATGCCATTCACCTTTACAAATGACTGAGGTGATAAAGATGACTCGACTTTAACAATGGAATGAAACATCATTCTAACATGTCAGTATTCATAGGTAGCAAATACTGAAGAAGACAGTTACTACTTTTTACCTTTGAAGTCAAAACAGAAGTACAAATTAGAACAAAAAACTCAAAGAAATGTTCAGGATACACACATTTGCATGCATTTTAGGCAAACTTTCAAATATAACCAATTGATAACTTCGAATCAAGATGAATGTCACAAACATATAAGCTTACACTAGTGAAGCAAGAAAAACTGGAAGAGACAACAGGTTTCTAGGAGGGAAAGAAATCACATACTTCCTTTATCATAAAACAAAAGTCTGCAAGTCTACATCATAATAACACTGCCTGTCGAGTTAATCACTGTTCAAGAACACACTTTCCAAATTGTATCTTTAAATGTAATCTGACAACAGTCAAATTAAATGCTCATCAGTCAAAACACATCACTTAAGATGCTCACCTTAAGTTTACATTGCTTTTATAGAAGCACAGTCCAATCACTAAAGAGTAATTCCACTACTTGATTTTGATATGCTTCATCTGAAAGACTCAGTTTACAAACAGAAGTTTTGCCCTCCTCCGCTAGAGTGGATATCTGTATGTCATCTAAGCATTAAGTAGCAACCAAAAAAAAAACTAGATTCAAACATCTTTCATTATGTATGCTTCATCGGGCTTTGATAAAGACAGAGCCATCTGGGGTAGAAGATCCCTCTTCCTTCTCATTTACTATCTCCACAGTTCCAGAAGCTGACACAATAACCATTGTTTTATTTGCAGACACCGACTTCTGTTTTTCTGCAACAGCAGCACAAACAGCAACAATCTCATCACTTTCAAAGTCATAGTCAGGGATTGACTCTGGTGAGATGTCTGCTCCTTCCGGTGGAATTTCTTTTTTTTCAATCCTCTGCGCTACTTTCTGCTGTTCTTGGAGCTTTCTTGCCCATGAAAGGTCCTCCTTCCATATTTCAGGGTTCATTGGATATATGTGGAGGGCTACTTGAAAACTTCGAATTGCCTGGGGGGGGAAAGATGTTTGCATTTGGCTTATTTCTAAAAATCACTAAGTTAGCTACAATTGCATACATACAAGTAAGTGTGGGTATCTATGCAGTCATACATGTCTACTCTAGCATCTACTAGAATTAATTTTAACACAAGCAATAAGCCATCTGTCTAGATAACTATGGTAGAGAAAAAATATACATAAGGGGAAAGGCTGAGAAAATGTCAATGAAATAAAAGCCATTAAATCAGGGGCACTGGTACTAGGGTTTGAACATCTTAAAAGAAACATAACTATGACCACATAAGACTTATCCCTCTGATTCTAATCACACAGGTCAACATAGGCAAGTGGTATAATAAATCACATAATAAAAGACAAAAATCATAGAATTTGTCCCAATAGGTGAAGAAAAATCACTTGATGAAACCTCAGTTTTTTGTTCGTTTGTTTTGGGTTTTTTTTTTTTTTTTTTTTTTTTTTTTTTTTTGTGATTAAAAAGTCAACAGTCTGGGAACACATGGAAATAAAAGCCACGCAATAGAACACCCAAAACCACATCACACTCAACAGTGAAAATCAGAATGAGGCCAGGTCTTTCCATTTCTTTTTTTTATATAATAACATCATTTTTCTCTTCCCTGTCCTTCCTCCAAATGTTCTCAGATGCTTCTCCATGCTGTCTTTCAAGTTCAAGGCCTCTTTTTACATTAATTGTTATTACATGGATATATGTATGCATATATTCATAAATATAATGTCTGTATAATGTTACTTGCATGCATGTTTTCAGGACTGATCATTTGGTATTAAGGTAACAAACTGGTATGGTATGCTCTTCCCATTTATGTCCACAACTGAACTGTCAGTTATAGCCAGAGAATTAGGAAAGAAAAATATATAAATCACCCAAATGGGGAGGGAGAAGTAAAATTACCCTCATTTGCAGATGATACAATCTTACTTACAGAAAACCCTAAACATTCCACAGATGCCTATCAGAACTGTCAGTCACAGGGGCAGGCACCTGAGCCCTAGCTTACTCAGGAGGGTGAAGCAGGATGACTGGCGACTTGCACCAAGGAGGGTAAGGCTAGCGTGAACAAAGTAGTGAATCTCAGTCAAAAAAGCAAAACCAAAAACAAGGATCTGTGAAGACTAATGAACAAACTCCAGAAAGCTGCAATATATGAAATCAACATACAAAGCTTGATTATGCCTCTACACACTGAAAACTATGACAGAAAACTGAGAGGGTGAACTCACATAGAACAGCAACTACTAAGGGGTGAAAGGCTTACACCCTGAGGCCCACAAAACACGGCTGAAGGAAATTAAAGACACAAACAAATGGATCGACATTTCATGCTCCTGGGTTGGAAAACTTAATGCCAGTAAAATGCTTATACTCCTACAGAAAAACAACAGCTTCAATTCAATACCTGCTATGAAATAATCCTTTTGTATACTATAAAGATTTGCCAATTGAATTGGTTTAATAAAAAGTTGACTGTCCAGTAGCCAGGCAGGAAGTATAGGCAGGATAACCAAACTAAGGATGCCGGGAGGAAGAAGGGTAGGGTACGAGGAGACACAGAGGAAGAAGGACATGTAGAAGCAAGCCATGAGCCATATGACAGAGGGTAGATAAGAAATAAGGGTTAATTTTAAATATAAGAATTAACTACTAAAAAGCCTGAGCTATCCAGATGAGCATTTATAAATGATATCAAGCCTCTGTGTGGTTATTTGGGAACTGGTGGGTAGGAAAAAAATGTCCACCAACAAATACCTATCAATATCCCAATGGCATTTTAATAGAAACAGAAAATAAAATTCTGAAATTCATATGGGACTACAAAACACCTCGCCAAATCAATTTTGAGAAGGGCAAAGCCAGAATCATCACATTCCCCAATTTTCAAAATGTTTTACACAGTGTACAACTGTACACAAAACAGCAGTATATGGATGCAAAAAGGCCAAATTATGCAAATAAAATATCTAGTGCAACAATTATCACAGTCTTAATACCACTAACTAAATGAGACTGAGAAAATAGGGAAAACATCAGGGGACTAAGACTTTTTGAGGTAGGCAGTATGTATCACATACTGACACAAAACAATTGAAAAGTGATAATGATACAGGTCACATATGAAAGAGCAGGCCCAAGCTAATTTCAGCACTGATGGCTAAGGTCACATGAGTGAACTGAACCAGTTATTAAAGCGCTCCTAATCTGTTTCCAACTTCTCCAATAAATCTTAACTATTTCTCAGTAATCTCATTCTTTTAGTTTTTTTCTTGTTGAGCCATTTTCTTCAGTGTTCTTACTCTTTTATCCCGTCACCCTAAACCAGCATTCTCCTAGCACGCCTGGCCCTTTCCTTCACTCTTGTCCTCCTGTGTTTTCCACTCTCCCGTTCCACTAGATACATGTATTTCCTCTAAGTATTTTCCAACAGGATATATTGATAAGAAGGAGATAAAAAGGTAAAGGGGGGACAGGAGAGTGAAAAAAGGAGAACAGCACTAAGGATATTTGAAGGAATGCCCTTGAGGAATTATTATGTACCTAAAGTTATAGATAAGGCATATTAGTGTATTTGTATACATATATGCTTTAAACAATGATACACCACTCAGGCTAATAATCCTCCCTGCATGGGCCATAGACTGTAAGAAAGACTCCAGTAACAGGCACAAGATGTTGGTCAGGTAGTCCAAGACACTCCCAAAGCATTACAGGATATTGATGTTGCCTTTGGTTGCCTTGCAGAGGTGGAATGTTAAGTCCCTATTGCTAAAGATATCATGCACTTCAGATACAGGACTCAGAAGATCTGAGCTATATCTGACTCAAAAGTCTCCTCCCTGAGACTAAGTTTTCATAGCACTGCAAGGTACTAAATAACTTGCCAAGGAGGGGAAACAGCCAAAAGTCCTATCTAGCTGTGATGCCTCTGAAACACAACAAGTACCAGTATGCCAAAATATCTCTAAGTGTACGATAGTAGTACTCGTATCTTGGAGGTGACCAATAGCTATCTAATAGGATTTAAAGCTGGCCCAATGGGAAATATATGATGTACTGGAAACCTAGCCAACTTCCTGGAGCTAATGAGGTCATAGATCTTAGAGGAGAGCCTTCTACTACTACTCTAATAAATCAACACAATTTATAACTGCACTTTAAATACTTATTCTTATGCCCACAGATAAGCGTAATTCTTACCATTTATCAAAGAAATTTCTCTTTGCAACAGATGGAGAGCATTACAGAAAACTACAACTGGTCAAAATGCATGGAACAACTGATTATGAGGTTCCCAGCCCCAATACATGGCCACAACACAACTTTTAAAACTAAGGCCCAGGGGGCATCAAGGAAGAGAGGGACAAAAGACTAAGGGCCATAGGACTAGGAAATCTGCTGTGAGACTGTATTTCCTAGAAAGGGCAGAAAAGCTTCACCCATTATACCTCAACAATATGGATACCTAAGCAAGATCAAGTACACCACCAATAGACATGGTAACATGAAAGGGTTCAATCTCTCAGAGTTCCACCACTAGAAAAAGAACTATAGCCAAATAAGAAACCCTGAAAGTAAGAGAAATAGTCATCCCCAGGGATGAAAACCCTAACTGTCTATTGTATACTAACTGGTCAGCCCTGAAATCACATCATTCAATTAACACTAAATGGACTGAGCAAGTTATAGTCATATACTTGTGGATTTGCATATAACACACACACACACACACATACACACACACACATACACACACACACACACACACACAGAGAGAGAGAGAGAGAGAGAGAGAGAGAGAGAGAGAGAGAGAGAGAGAGAGAGAGAGAAACAAAAAAGAAGAGACCATGAATTGGAGAAGGAACAAGTGGAAGGATATATAGGAGGGGTTGGAGGAAGAAAAAGAAAACGATGTAATCACGCTTTAATTTTTTAAATGTCAAAGTAGAAAAGAATAAAAATACAAATGGCCAATAAACATGAAAAAATGTTCAGCCTCATTAGCTATCAGAGAATACAAGTCAAAACTCAGTGAGATTCTTTCATGAAAAGCATAGAGGTTTTTTAGGGGAAAAAAAAAAAAAACAGAAATTGATCTATTATTTGACCCAGCTTTGATGCAGCTACAGCACTCCTGGGTATTTACGCAAAGGACACCAAGTAGACACATCACAGACATACTTACACATCAATATGTATGCAATACTATTCACAATAGCTAAGTAAGAAAAAAGCCAGATGTCTAAAACCAGAGCAAGGAAAACGTGGTGTGTATACATATACAATGTATTTTTTTAAGCTATAAAGAATGAAGTTATATTGTTTTTAGGAAAAATAATGTGACTGGAGATAGTCATATTAAGGGCATTAAGTCAGTCTCAGAAAGACAAACATCATATATTTTCTCTCACCTATTGATCCTAGATTTTATACAGTCACATAAAGTCATCTATGTATAAATTAAATGAAAATAAAAATAAGTTTGCCTAGGGGAAGACTGTGGACTAATATAAGGTGGGGTAATCAAGTTAAAAAGAGGGTAGAGAGAATACAGGAAAACCAAATAAGGCAGTTTAGTCGTATACTCAATATACAACATGCACCTGGAAGAAACTTACTTTAAAAATTAAAATATAATTAAATATGAGCATTATAACAATCAAATTTCTTTACCAGAACTATCTCTCCTAATCCAAGCTGAGCACGACCTAAAGTTTGCCAAGACTCCCACGAGTGTGGGTTACGCTTGACAGCCATTTCTGCTGCATGTACTGCTGGAAACATTTCATGAAGGGACATCAGGACCTAAATGTCAAAAAAGAAGAAGAAACAAAACCTGCCATGAGCATATGAAACATAAACTAGCAAACTACTGGTAGATGATCATATACAAACAATGATTTTCCTTTACAAAATACATCTTAACCTGACACACAGCATTTCTGTGGATTTTATCCCCTACTTTACATTCAGTATCAGAGATTCTAGATGTTTTTCACTCCCCAAATAAATGAAAATAAAAAGTACCTTTATGTCTATCTGATCAAAACCAAGTGGTTGTCAGGCAGTGGTAGCACACACCTTTAATGCCGGCACTTGGGAGACAGAGACAGCAGATGCATCTCTGTGAGTTCGAGACCAGCCTGATCTACAGAGTGAGATCCAGAACAGGCTTCAAAGCTACACAGAGAAATCCTGTCTCAAAAAAAAAAAAAAGAAAAAAAAAAAAAAACAAGTGGTTGTGTTCTAGCCACAGCAGCTCAATGCTATCTGAAGTCCAGCTTTCAATTATAGTTACTCTATTTACAATATAATTTTTAGGAAACATTCAAGTCTTGCTGTTAAAACTAGACAGATAAAGTTGTTCAACCAGTCATTCAGTCCCACTGCACATTTACCTGCTAAAAAAAAAACTAAAAACCCTGGAGGCCTCACAACCAGAAAGTCTACAGAACTGGAGAACTGAATGCCCATGGGAAATAGCTGAACTTCATTTCTAATCTTTGCATCCATGAACACTTTGGAGCATTCTTGACACAAACACCATTCCTAGATTCTAGATTAAACTCTTCCTACAGTTGCCATGGATATCCCCTCACTCTGCATATATTCTAACCCTGAGTGTGAAGAATGCCGATAAAGGGCTTTACAGAACCCACTTCAAAGGACCTAGTTTATTTAGGTTCTTCCTCAATGAAATAAATCGAAGCTGTTAAAGCATGTGCCTTTCATTTCAGAGTATTATATGGAAACAATACTTGTTAATATACAGCAATAATTAATTATTTGTCAAAACTGTACTTAATGCTATTTTAGGGGCTGCTTTGGTGTTTTAATTTTGAGACTTTTCCCTATGGAGTTCAAGCTGTCCTGAACTCCTGACTCTCCTTACCTTAGTCTCCCTAAATGCTGGGATTGCAGCATGTTCCACCATACCTGGCTGTCTGAGACATTTAGTATTCCCTAGGTAACTGGTTCAGGTACGTGAGGCTTTCTGTACACCGGGTGTACACTATGTATTACAAATGCATATTTAATACAAATGAGTTTCTTCAGACTATGAGACTGACATGCTACCTACTGTGCTAAGTAGGTGCCTGTCAAATGCTAGTTTCTTAACTGTAATAAGTCACTGCTTCCCAACCATTTGCTCAGATCTCTGCCATTTCATTTCATCTCATCTGTACTTGTCTCTTAGGCAGCTGTGACTTGGAAACTCCATTTCCATCCATAAGCCTCACCTAGTTACTGCTGGGTTGGCTTTACAAGACCTAGGGAGGTATAAGGATTTGCTCCTCAGTATTTCTTTTGGGCAACAAGCCCTGTAGGGAATTCTTTCTAGCATGCTTATTTCTAAGATTAGTGCATATAGAAATAAATAGAGGGAATGGAGACTTTGAAGGGGGATCCTAAAAGATGAACTCAAGGCATCTTAATATTTTTTCCCTTTAAACATCAAGATATATATCTCAGGACACTTCAGTGGCAAGATTAGGTCTACTAAGGAATCCAGCTTGCTATCAACCACAAAGTTAACAACAAGTTATACTACTTTCTACAACAATTGTTCAAATAAGCCAAGGGGAAACCAGAAAAGGCATTTCTAGCTTTTCTTAATACCTAAGAAACAACCCTTATCTTCCTAGTTATCATGTCACAAAGATTTTTTTTAATGTTAAAAAATAAATAAATAAAATGGAAAAAAGTAAGTATTCAAGATTGAGCATAAGGTTGCTCGGATGAAGCTGTCTTCCTTCCAGGAGCAGTGTCTCTGCAGTTACAGCAGCAGGGATCATCTTAGACTGAGTCAGATCATCCTCTGAACCCTGTTAGCATGTCTGGAGATCTTCCAGACTAAAGCAGAAGCCAGAAGTACTGGTCATGCAGCAAGATGGCCCCTTCACAAATGTGACAGTCTCATCGGCCTTCACCTTCCCTGCCTTAAGGCCTCAGAAATGGAGTGCTCATGGTGTGCCCACGGGTGTCTCTTTGCTGCCATGTAACTCACTGCTGAACTGTCTCTAAAGGCTTGACTCTTTCTATGTTTGCTGTCTATTCATATGTGCTTGTGACATATAGCCTGAGGAAATTACCAATAAGTTTGATATGACTACATTTTCCACCTTTATTTCCAAAATGCCTTTCCATAATTTGTCTTGAGACAAAAAATAAGCATTTAGAATTCAACAGAAAGAGCTTCACTGCCGAGTATGCTTCCCTATCATTGTTCAAGCTCTTAGAGACCTTTCCTCGTCCTTCATTAAAAGTGTCATCAGGATTTCTGATCCAAATAGGATTTACTTGGTTGAGTACTTCCTTTTTTTTTTTTAAGATTTATTTATTTATTTTACCTATATGAGTGCTCTATCTGCATGTACACCTTTATGCCAGAAGAGGGCATCAGATCCCAGTATAGATGGTTGTGAGCCACCATGTAGTTGCTGGGAATTAAACTCAGGACCTCTGGAAGAACAGCCAATGTTCTTAAGTGCTGAGCCATCTCTCCCACCCCGATTGAGTACTTTTGAGTACTTCTGGACCAATATATCTTTCCTTAATCTTCTTTTTCTTGTCACCATCCCCTCCTCCCTTCTGAATGATCAGCTTCTATTAAAGTTTTGTCACCAGGCTTCTTTTCTTCCTGGTCTTCGATCTCATGACTACTGACTTCTTTGTCACCCTCCTCCACAAAGAGAGCAATGGTTACCCAAAACTGAGAATGCTTCTTCATAATCTTGCTTATTACCCTGTCCTCTGGGTACTCGGTTTGGTTTTTCACAGATAGGCTAGCCTTTGCTGCACAGCTCATAGGTGTCCTGTGGCAGTTTTCACTGTGACTGACCACTGTTAAAGATTCCCAGGCATGCTGCTCAGCATTACTATGCTTGTTGATCACAGTCACTTTCTTAGCAATAAAACATACAGTAAAAACCCAACACCAAACTGGCCAATCACAAAAGTATCTATCTGCACAAGCCTACAAAGACCCCACTGAGGCTTTAGTACCAAACTTGGCAACAGTACCAAAGCTGTTGAACAAATTAACCCTGGTTATTCTAATTCCAATATCCACAATGGTGAGAGTTTGAACCTGTTTGTTAGGAATCAAAATTGATAAGTAATTCCTTCCTATAGTCTTGTTTTCTAGGATCTATTATGCTCTCACATCTGATATAGCCAAAGCTTCTGATAAATTTGAAATGAACCCTCCAAAATAAATCTCTCTAAGTAGAAATTATTGATAATCAAGTGATATTAACTGGGCAACTTGTGCATGAAAGGCAGTTTCAACCTCTTCCTCTTCAGTTGGTCAGGCTTAAGTCTGGGTTTCCTCAAGTATCTTCACTGAGTGATTGGCACATGCTCCACTAGGAACAGCTCTGGGATGCTGGAGAAATGGATCCATAACATACATACATATATATGTGTGTGTGTGTGTGTGTGTGTGTGTGTGTGTATGTCTGTGTGTGTATTGATATATATATATAAATATTCCAAAAACCAATGCATCCTTATTTTGAAAAAATGAGCTATTGGTAGACAATTTATTAAGACAGTATAAGCTTTGCATCTATTTAAAAAATGTACTAGTAATTTTATCCATATGTTATATCTTCTCAAAACTAGGTTCAAGTAACAGTTACCTCATTACAAAAGCAAATGCATTTCTAATTTTACACACAAAATGTTTTAAATAATAAGCTAAAATTTTAAAAATAAGTAGTACTGGAAAAGAGAAATGAGAGCAGACATATTTGTTCATCACTGCTCACTGAATAAACACAGCATAATCATAGTAAAAGTCAAATTCCTTATAACTGTTACCTGTGACTTCATCTCATAAAGGGTGGCATCATCTGGGGTCAGCTGTAGTGCTTCATCCCACTTCTGAATTGCCTCCTGATATCTGTAATTGTTAAGGTTACATTAATATCATATTTTAACTAAATATGAAAGTAAATGTTAAACTTGAAAACTGGAAACTTGAAAATAATAACTAAGAAATTTTTCTATGTAGAAATTGATAATATTTTTATAAAAGCTTAGGCAAATTATAGAAAGGAAAGGAAAAACAACAAAAGAGAAAAGGCCAAAATATTAATAAGAGATCTTCAAATCTCTAAGATTTTGAAGCCCAGGCTAGCAAGATGGCTCAGTGGGTAATACCTAAGCCTAGAGTTCAATCCCTGTATCTCACATAAAGGTAAAAGAAGAAACTAACTCTACAAACTTGTCCTCTGACCTATACACACACCATAGCATGTATAAACACATAATTAATGACAGTAACAATAAAAATATATTTTAAACGACTTGTGAGCTAAGAAATCACTAACAAATGTCTTTCTTTTTTAATTAAATTCACTGATGGGATATGTACTCTAAAAGATTAGTGTTAAATATTTTCAATCCAGTTCCATGCCTAGGTTCTCCTATAGAAATCTACCTGGTAGATAGGATAGTCTGTCCTGGTTAGTTTTATGACAATTTGACACATCAAAATTCACCCAAGAGGAGGAAACTTCAATTGAGGAAATACCTCCATAAGATCCGGATTGTAGGTAGGTAAACCAGTAGGGCATTTATTAGTGGTTGTTGGGGGAGGGACCAGGCTATGGTGGGAGAGGCTACTTCTGGTGTTCTGTAAGAAAGCAGGCTGAGCAAGCTAGCAAGCAGCCTTCCTGCATGGCCTCTGACCAGCTCCTGCCTCCAAGTTCTTGTCTTGTTTAAGTTCCTGCCCTGGCTTCCTTCAAAGTTTGGTCATGAAAGGACAATTATCTATTTTTGTTGGTAACTATACATATATGGCAATCTTAAGAGATGGGTGAAATGCACCCAAAATAATATGCAGACTTCTAGTGTGCTGTGGTTTCAATGGGTCATGTCCCTTAAAAGTGTATGTATGAACACTTGGTCCAGATGGTGGCACTGTTTGGAAAAGTTGTGGCGCCTTTAAGGGGTAGAGTCTCAGTGGGAAATAGACTACTAGGGGCTGACCTAAACCAGGGTAGACAACCCTGGTTTCTGTCTACTGCCTTTGTCCTTTTCCACGAGGATGAGAGACATGAGGAGGTCCAGCTGCTTCCAAGGGAATGTTAACCAGCACTGTTCCTATTTCAAAGTGCTTTGAACATGTCTGCTACAGGTCATTTTTGTTGTTCCCTCTGTCTGGACTTTTCTTTCCCCAAATAATCATACTATGAATGTCCCAGTTTTTTGTTGTTGTTGTTGTTGTTTGTTTTGTTTTTTTTCCTCTCTGATTCCAATATATCACAAGATGCCCTTGACTGTAGCCTACATATTATTGACTGACTACTTCAACAAACTCAGCAGTGTGTTCAAATCTCAGTCACCTTTCTGCCAAACACATTACTCTCTAACTTCTGACCAATCAATTTTCAGATTTCTCCATTTCTAGAAAAGTGTGATGAATCCTTCGAAGACAATCACCAAAGCAGACTGATGTGGTCCCACATTCACATAGTCAAATATATATTCCACACACATTGAGGGGACACGGGGACGGACACAGTAACAGGGAAATCCACCCACATTGTCTCAGTAGTTAGAAAAGGCATGTCTGAAGTGGTATAATTTGGGTCATTGCTAAAAGATAAAAATCTGGAGAAAAATATTCTAAGTAGAAAACATAAAAACAGATACATGAGTATTTGTGAATACATTTGATATTTTTCAGGGGGGAAAAAATAAAATCCACTCTGGTCTAAGATAAAATGAAAACAAAGAAACATATAGGGCCTTGAAATTTAAAAATGGCCCTTGATTTGTATTTAGTCTTTGTTGATACAAGTATTGTATCAACTTAGTGCTTAGTTGATACAAGTATTATCTTTCAAACATTTACAGGCATACTATAAAGTTGGGACAATTATGCTAAATCCACTAAGAATTCTTTTCAGTATACTAAGGCATAGAAGTATCAAACACATACATTTTAACTTAAACTAGCACTGACTTCATTAACACATTATTTTCTAGAGCTTGGAGACAGCTTGTTTGGTAAAATGTCTTCCACACAGCATGGAGACTTGCGTGGGATCCCCTGAAAACCACTCTGCCTGTTCTTGTGCCTTTGCTGCACTTTCTCTTGCAATCCTCAAGCCTTCGTCACTTCTTAACCCTAACCCTGATCCTCCATGTAAATGTCTTGTTTTTATATGATCCAACAAGCTGTCTTAAATAACACTCTGGCATTACATCTATAGGTGATTTTAAACAACACAATCAACAGAAAGCATAAAACTATGAAAAATACTGCTAAATACCACAAATAGGATACCAACTACAGCAGGAACTGGAACAATGGTAGACCACAGCCTTGTTTGTCTCAGCCTCAGCAGAGAATATACTTATCAGAGGGTTCACTGCTTTGGCCCCTCTGTGCTTATGCACTAGCAAGGACTTACTCTGCAGTTAAAATACTGGAAGTGGGATGAATAGGGGGAGCTGGAGGGTGGAAGTAGTGATGGATATGATATATTGTATAATATGTGAATTTTCAAAAATAAATGCAAAATATTGTTTAAAATAATAAAATACATTTAGTAAGTAGGTAGATTTAATGTGCAGATGGGAGTCAAATATAGGAGACAGGAAACGGGATCAGAGATGGTGGTTAGACTCAAAGAGGTACAGAATGGCCCTACAAGGCACAGGAAAGGGACAACTATGCCTTAAAATAAACCCTAAACTGCTCAGTTTCAGCAGCTATCACTTACTGAAAGTATACAGTTAAAGGGGATTAAATCATAAGTCCACTTCTAGCAATTAAGCTGTGTATATGCCTTCAGGAGTTTCTAATTAAGTATGGACAGGACCAAACTAACTGGGGGAACAGTAAGAAGGAGCTGACATGGCATGAAAATGTATAAAACACTGTATGAAGGTCATTTTCCAAAGCCAAATGTCCTTTTTACTTCCCATTCTACATTCTGCCTGAATAAACTACAGCAGTTCTTACAACATAGCAGATGCCATTTATGGAGATATTTTCATGGAGATATTTTCAACTGTCACTATGAGTTTAAGGAATTGATGGCATAGGCCACACAGAGCCAGGGATGTTAAGGGCCTGTAAGGAAAACAGCACTCCTATACTACAAAGGGACGTCCTGCCCAAAGTGTCTCTGACCTTACTGCTGAGAAAGTTGTCCATATACAAAGAGCAAGATAAATTAAGAAATTCAAGAGAATACTAACTAACCATAACTCCTACTTACTCTCTGCATTAGTCAGACATGCATGCAGGCATGTACATGTGCAAACACCTCCCACAGATCAGTATGGAATACAAAAGGAAAAGCAAAAGGAAAAGCATGTCTGCTCCTCATTCAGAACTTTTGTTTTGAAAATATAATCAATGCTTCCAGCTGAGGCCTTTCTTGCCTAAGCATACGAATATTTAAAGAGCAAATGAGCTAGCTCCCAGTGGCTAAAGTGGAGCAAGCAATGTAGAGCAATTCGCTGCAGACACATCTCCGGGCTCCCTCTCACTCTCTTCTCCTACTCTGGTTCATTTTCCTTGCCCTACAGGTAAACAGTGGCACCACTTAGTTCCTCCATTTGGGAATCATAGGAAACTTGGCACTTAAAAATCAATCAATGGTCTCTCCCAACTTCTGCAGCCTATCTCCTAATTCAACTTCAGTCTGGAACAGAGTGAAAAGACACAGCCCTGTTGCAGCTGTTGGATAGGAAACACTAAAAGATAAAAACTTGGTTTAAAGTCACTGTGGTTAATAAATGACCAAATTCTGATTCAGCCAGTTTAAAGGCAGCCTTAACAGCATGGAACTGACCTAGCACAAGGAAGGAAGCAAAGTGAATAGCTCAGGGATTACACAGGGCAGGGTGAGATAATGCCCTACAATGAAGCAAAGAACAGCTGGTGACCAAGCCAAGTAAGTTAGATAGCAAGCACATTCACCAGATGGAAATGTCACAGTGCTTAGTTACTTTGCTCTCAATGACATTTCTAATTTACCACTGCTCAAATCTAATGAGCTATTTAGTTAATGGCATATTTAGTAAATATTTGTAGATCACATTCTTTGGGCAAGATAGCATTCTAGATACTAAGAATGCTGCATTCAACATGTTTCTACTATTCTAGAACTTTTTAACATACTATATTGAGGTATGGAACATGGGAAGACAAGGCTCATATGGAAATTTGATTTAAAAATGATTTAAATATGGAAGATGTGGTAGGAAATAACCAAGTGTCTTCTCACAATGGGACAATGGGTGAACAAGAGATTCTTCTTAGGAATGCATATGAGCTGAGACCTGAAATGACAAGAGAAGACAACCATTTGAAAATCTGGAGAAACTCCATTAAAGTCAGGACTAAGCACTCCATGTTTAGAGGACAGAAAGTCAAACCAGTGTGGTTATAGTATAAGGAAAAGAAAAGTGGTATTAGAGAAGTAGGCCAAGCCATATCTACAGAAAAGCCTAACAGGCTATGGCTGGAAGTGGTGATTTAATGTTATTTGTGATGAAGAATTTCTGTGGCCCTGGCCACAGAAAACCCCTATGGTTAGTAGTATTGATTTGATGTAGGTGTTATAGAGAATCCATAGGCTTTGTCAACACTAACACAGTTTACACTTCTAAAAGATGTCAAGATCAACAAACTATTGGGTTATAAAAATATGCACAAGGAGACCAATACAAGTATATTACGAAATTCAGGAAAAAGATTACTACCAAATAGATCAGGGTAACTGAAGTATACCGAAAGTGGACAAAAGAGTATAGGACAGTATAGAAACTCAATGTGGGCTGGGCATTAGGAGTGAAGGAAAGAAAAGAATCTGGAATGGTGTCCATCTGGTGCCCAAGGTCAAAGCTTGCTGGCTAACTTAGCCAGGATCTCAGACA